CCAGCAATGGACAAAATTAACATACGTGTCTAGGTCCACAGTTTTCATGTCTCTACAAGTGGAGTTATGTAGCACTACAAAACATTGTATAAGCCTATTTCTTGTGACTGATACAAATGGTAAATGAGGCAGTGACCTCTCAAATGTCGTTGGGTGTATGTCCCTCTCAAAAGACAGCATGTAAAAAAGGACATAAACGACTGTTCTATGACTAAAATGAAATATATCAATGAGATGTGACCATGTTTCTTTCATAAGCAACTCTAAATATGCTCTTTGAAAGTGGGGGTGATTTAGTTATTCCAGCTTACTTACTAATGGAGTTTTAAATAGCACAAAATATGAATAGTAGTCGATCTGTCTGTTTGAGGAAGTTTGCTATAAAGAATCGGATGAACATTTTGAAAGAGTTGTATGTATTAAGCAAGGCCTCTGTATTAAGGAACCAATATAGTCTCCAAAACAACTACAGCTGTCCCCAGTGGTTCTGTGGAATATAGCCTGTCCCTGCATGGAAATGCTATATTCTTGTCCATGCAGGGACAGGAATATAGGCATCCAAAGCTAAAAAGTAGGAAAATTACATCCAAAAACAACATGTTTCATGTCCAACCATTTCATATCACCTTGAGGAGCATACAGTTGTTAGATCTAGGCCTACTGGGCACTCAGGCAGTATGAAATTAGTGGAGAAAGTGCAAAGTCCTAGACTTCTGCATTTATGATGATATCTCACTCTTGATTAATAGCCATGCCAATTACACCTCTGCATTCAAGAACCAACACTATACACAAATGCACACTAGCATTCGAATGCCAAAATTAAATACAAACAAACGTATGGCAAAAGTCCATACAAATACAGGGAGTGCAGAATTATTAGGCAAATGAGTATTTTGACCACATCATCCTCTTTATGCATGCTGTCTTACTCCAAGCTGTATAGGCTCGAAAGCCTACTACCAATTAAGCATATTAGGTGATGTGCATCTCTGTAATGAGAAGGGGTGTGGTCTAATGACATCAACACCCTATATCAGGTGTGCATAATTATTAGGCAACTTCCTTTCCTTTGGCAAAATGGGTCAAAAGAAGGACTTGACAGGCTCAGAAAAGTCAAAAATAGTGAGATATCTTGCAGAGGGATGCAGCACTCTTAAAATTGCAAAGCTTCTGAAGCGTGATCATCGAACAATCAAGCGTTTCATTCAAAATAGTCAACAGGGTCGCAAGAAGCGTGTGGAAAAACCAAGGCGCAAAATAACTGCCCATGAACTGAGAAAAGTCAAGCGTGCAGCTGCCACGATGCCACTTGCCACCAGTTTGGCCATATTTCAGAGCTGCAACATCACTGGAGTGCCCAAAAGCACAAGGTGTGCAATACTCAGAGACATGGCCAAGGTAAGAAAGGCTGAAAGACGACCACCACTGAACAAGACACACAAGCTGAAACGTCAAGACTGGGCCAAGAAATATCTCAAGACTGATTTTTCTAAGGTTTTATGGACTGATGAAATGAGAGTGAGTCTTGATGGGCCAGATGGATGGGCCCGTGGCTGGATTGGTAAAGGGCAGAGAGCTCCAGTCCGACTCAGACGCCAGCAAGGTGGAGGTGGAGTACTGGTTTGGGCTGGTATCATCAAAGATGAGCTTGTGGGGCCTTTTCGGGTTGAGGATGGAGTCAAGCTCAACTCCCAGTCCTACTGCCAGTTCCTGGAAGACACCTTCTTCAAGCAGTGGTACAGGAAGAAGTCTGCATCCTTCAAGAAAAACATGATTTTCATGCAGGACAATGCTCCATCACACGCGTCCAAGTACTCCACAGCGTGGCTGGCAAGAAAGGGTATAAAAGAAGAAAATCTAATGACATGGCCTCCTTGTTCACCTGATCTGAACCCCATTGAGAACCTGTGGTCCATCATCAAATGTGAGATTTACAAGGAGGGAAAACCTCTCTGAACAGTGTCTGGGAGGCTGTGGTTGCTGCTGCACGCAATGTTGATGGTGAACAGATCAAAACACTGACAGAATCCATGGATGGCAGGCTTTTGAGTGTCCTTGCAAAGAAAGGTGGCTATATTGGTCACTGATTTGTTTTTGTTTTGTTTTTGAATGTCAGAAATGTATATTTGTGAATGTTGAGATGTTATATTGGTTTCACTGGTAATAATAAATAATTGAAATGGGTATATATTTGTTTTTTGTTAAGTTGCCTAATAATTATGCACAGTAATAGTCACCTGCACACACAGATATCCCCCTAACATAGCTATAACTAAAAACAAACTAAAAACTACTTCCAAAAATATTCAGCTTTGATATTAATGAGTTTTTTGGGTTCATTGAGAACATGGTTGTTGTTCAATAATAAAATTAATCCTCAAAAATACAACTTGCCTAATAATTCTGCACTCCCTGTACACATATACGCTATACAAAACACATAATCCATACATAAATATGCTTACATTTGAATGTCCAAACACTGATCACAAATACAATGCTGTAAGGATGGGCAAATGGTAGACCCCCAGCTGACAAAGAATCATGGGCTTTGCGTAACTGTTTTAGACTCCCATGCCGTAGATAGGCCCAAAAAGGAAATCTTGCATTGTTTCTGCAGCTGGTTGGGAGTAAGACTCTGTGGGCCCATAAGCAGGTCAGAATCTAAAGCCCCAGGAAGGAAGGTGCTAAAGATAAGAATTGGAAAAAAAAGCCTCCTTAGTGATCAATTCTTGGAGGCAGCAAGCACAGATGTTATCGCCCTCGGATAGGTTCCTTAAATATTCTTCTAACTCCTCCAGGGCACAGATCAGTCATTAAAGCAGTATGAGAATATATTTTCATGTTTGCTTTAATGACCACCTTGTACATAATACCTTCGACCTGGTATGATCTCTGTATATTGTGAAAGTATTAGGATCTAGGTCCTTATATTACCCTTAGCGAACTGAAAGGGGTGGTTAGGGACTCACTGTTACTTGATTCTGCTTCCAAGTCTGCTAAGTCCTCGGAAGATGGCGGTATGCTTTTATTCTCTCAGTGGAGAAGAATGACACTAAAGGCATGGTGCTTTTGTGTTTCTTTGGTCCCCCATCTCAGGAGCTTTAATGACCAAAGGGTAGGTAGGTAGACAGAACGAAAGACTAACTGCTTTTGCCTGCTATAAATCATCAGGAGTGACAGGGTTTCAAGAAGAAGCGTCCATCTTGAGCAATGATCAAGTTCTGCCCTCACAAATAATAATTTAATGGTAATACTTGTAAAATTTCTAAAATAAAATATTATTTACAGATTTATCCTACACAATTTTATTCAATATGTCATAAGAGTTGGTATATTTGCTCATTCCTAATAAACTTTATTGACCATTAATATGTGGTAGATGTTTATTTTGTGTGAAAATTGCAAACTTTCTAAAATAAAAAAAGCAGTACAAAGTAACACAAAAATTGTTAAAATGTTAAATTCTCATTATTTTCTTGTGACTTGTTTCTACTGCTGTGGTTTAGGACACTCCCTTGTTTTTGATTATTTATTAGTTACACATTTTTCAAACTGTTTAACACTTGAGATTTTTGCATGCATTAGTTTCTAAATCAGTGATGGCTAATCTTGGCACCTAAATATATTTCTAAAAAATACATTTCCTGTGCTGCTAAGGCCGCCCTTGGCCTGACGTAGCACCATTGGAAATGTTGTTACAATACATCCGCGTATCACTGGTGGAGATGGATTTCATCTAATGTTTTTAAGAATTATATCTTTCTACTTTCCATAAAACATATTCAGCATTTTGTAAGCAGAGTCTATTGCACTAACCAGGGCCGGCCTTAGGGGTGTGCGAGTTGTGAGGCCAAACAGGGCTGCATGGAGCAAGAGGTGTGATTTTCTGTCTGTGTGTGTGTGACTGTTTGCCTGTGTGTTTGTGTGTGTGTAAGAGTGACTGTCTGCCTATGTGAGTGTGTGTGTGTGTGTCTGACTGTCTGACTGTGTGTGTGAGACTGTATACTGTCTCACTGATTGTGTGTGTGACTGTCTGCCTGACACAACAGAGAGAATTGCAATACCGGTTCTTAGAATGTCCGGGCTATGCAAAAGGGATAGTCAAAGAAAGCCAAGGTCAAAGAAATACAGAGACACGGTGTAACTTATAGACAAGCCGAGGTCAGGGATAGAGGGGACAGAATAATCGTAAGACAAGCCAGAAATCGGTAACCAGAAAATCCAAATACAGAGTAACGCTCAATGGTAAACCAAAGACCACAACAGGTCACTGAGACAAGGGGGAGGTTAGCTTATATACACACAGGGTGTGTCTGATTGGCTAACCTCCAGTTAGTGTTAATCACAACACGTGGGAAGAGTTTCCTCCTTCCCTTGTGGTCTCTGAGGTCATCACTGTGTGCTGGGTCTGGCACACATATAAGAATGCTGCTCTGCAGCATGCAGTGTCAGTCACACTGCCAGTCTGGAGTGCGATGGCGGGACAGCCACACAACGCAAACAGGGACCAGACGACACCAGTCGCTGTGACGGGGTAAGCAAGGTTGCCGCAAGCAGGGGACCTTACAGTAACTGTGTGTAACTGTCTGTCTGTGTGTGTGTGACTGTCTACCTGTGTGTGACTGTAACTGTGTCTGCCTGCCTGCCTGTTTGTGACTCTCTGTGTGTGTGTGACTGCAATTGTGTGTGTGTGTGACTGTCTGCTTGTACCTGTGTGTGTGACTGTCTACCTATAACTGAGTGTGTGTGTGTGAGCCTGTCTGCCTGTGTCTGTGTGTGCGTGAGTGCCTGCCTGTAACTGAGTGTGTATGACTGTCTGCCTGTAATTGAGTGTGTGACTGTCTGTCTGTCTGTAACTGAGTGTGTGTTTGTGTGACTGTCTGCCTGTAACAAAGCATGTGTGACTGTCTGCCTCTGTAACTGTGTGTGTGTGTGCGTGTGACTATCTGCCTGTAAATGAGCGTGTGTCACTGTCTGCTTGTAACTGTGTGTGACTGTCTGCCTGTAACTGTGTGTGTCTGTGTGTGTGTGAGTTAGTGTGACTGTCTGCCTCTAAATGAGCGTGTGTCACTGTCTACTTGTAACTGTGTGTGACTGTCTGCCTGTAATGGTGTGTGTCTGTGTGTGTGTGTGTGTGCGTGTGACTGTCTGCCTGTAAATGAGCGTGTGTCACTGTCTGCTTGTAACTGTGTGTCTGACTGTCTACCTGTAACTGAGTGTGTGTTTGTCTGACTGTCTGCCTGTAACAAAGCATGTGTGACTGTCTGCCTCTGTAACTGTGTGTGTGCGTGTGACTATCTGCCTGTAAATGAGCGTGTGTCACTGTCTGCTTGTAACTGTGTGTGTGACTGTCTGCCTGTAACTGTGTGTGTCTGTGTGTGTGCGTGTGACTGTCTGCCTGTAAATGAGCGTGTGTCACTGTCTGCTTGTAACTGTGTGTCTGACTGTCTGCCTGTAACTGAGTGTGTGTATGTGTGTGACTGTCTGATGTAATTGGGTGTCACAGTATTATGTGACATACTTAGTCTTCCCCTCTGAAATGCAGAAGAGGTAGTATGGCACCTCTGGCCTGCACTGCTGCCAAGGTCTTATTCTTTACACAGATGACTGGTTTCTTTACTAGTCTTTAACTATGACCTTATTTTATTTGCCAGCATTATTGTTGAGTCAGCAATCAACAGGATTTCCTACATTCCTTTCATATCATAATGAAATTAACAAATAGCATAATTACTTATGCAAAACAAACGCGTAATACATATTTGCATGTTTAATTTAATTTGGTATCCATCAATCCGATTATGTCTTTCTGTCCAGCTGATAACAGTATATACAGACAAATGCTTGTATTTAGCCAATAAATTACATGCAGCCAGCATCTTAGAGTAGACTATGTATTACTCTAGCATTTTTACATCGCTTCTCACAACATTGTTTAACGTTTTACGAAATACTTTTGTGCAACTATACAACACCGTTCTCCGAACACCAAATATTACAGCCATAATTTGATTAACCATATGTGAAATAAGGCAGACAGCAAGAGGTTAGACAAGGGTCCCATCACCATGAAGATGCCTGGTTTCATTCACAATATTGTACTCCTTATACTAAATGTGAGAATGGGTCAATCTGCTCACCTGCTTGGCACCTATTGAGTTTCAATCCTTCTCTATCTGCACAGCTGTGATCCATAAGTTAAGTGTCTTGGATTTTAACTTTCACATAGTCAATTAACATTTCACTCTAACATGTATATAAACAAGAAAACATTTCTTGTCCCATGCTAAGGTTCTTTTTTAATTGCTAATTATAACACACTCAGGGTAATTGACTAAATACCGGATTTTGTCAGATGGCCAAAATCGAGTGAAAATGTCCCAAACCGACCAGAATGACAATTTTCATATTTACTAATGCAAAATCTGGTTGGAATAAGGGCGGTGCAACCAGATCTGTAGTAATCGGCCACATGCATTCTCTTTCCAGATGAAAATCAGTGCTTTTGCATCCGAACCATATACAAAAAGCCTCTGTGGAACACTCTAACAACCCTATTACTACAAGTAGGGTTAGAACCTCCCTTATGCCCTCACTTGCCTTGTCACAGGTGGGGGCTTATCTACTAAAAAGTTAGCAGTCAGTGGCTGATCATTGTAATAAAAAATCTAGCAACTTGGCAACCTGCCCAGTCACTAAAATGTCACTACCCATCTTTACGTGAATAATAGGATCTCTGCTTTAAGTGAATATTAGCCTTCAGGTGCTGGAGGCTATTAAATTAAATAAATTAGGATGATATCCTAATATCCTCACTTGTACCCCAACAGTGGTCAGTGGGTGAGTGCTACTAATTTTATACTGAGGGGGACCTAGTATCAACCCATAGGTGGCAGGGGGAGGCTTTAATTATAATACATGAGGTTCTAATGTGTCCCCCACTCCCACCCATGGCAGCAGATGGAGGTACTAATAGAATATTCAAGGGTGGGTGGAAATCCCATTGTCCACCCACCTCGGGTGGCTGGGGGTCTCCAAACACATTATTAAAATAAAATAACCCTACTACACCCACTTACCCTAATAATAGTAACGGGCAATAACTAATACTTGTTATTAAATTATACCATCATAAATCTTAATTTGTCTAAATCTTCTTTTCTTCAGCCCCACAAAAGGGGACACTAGTACAAAAGGGCAAATTCAAATCTATAATAGGCAGCACAACTGCAAATAATAAAAACACCCAATTTGAAAAAATTAATTACAAAAAAAATCAAAAGCCCAATACAGCCAAAACAAGAGCCATCTTTGCATCGCAAGGTTCTGCGCAGAATGAGCTTCATAAAGGCTTTCCTACACTTTGAATTTTAATTAGTTGGCTTGAATATTTCCAGACAAGCCGTAAAGTCAAATTTGCCTGTCAGAGTGTTCTAAATGGCCAGCTTGCAAACCAACCAGAGCGCTCTGATGAGAATTCAAATCCTACAGAAATGTAAAGGATTACAAAGCACACTGTTGCCCCATGCTACTACTTCCATAATTCAAGCACCGAATGGTGTTCAGAAATACCATCCAGGCGCATGACATGTGTCCAAGGGTCCTGGACAGCAGAATCACTCAAATCTATTGATCAGGGCTTCCCAAACTTTTATGGGCCAAGATCCACTTTTGAAAATTGAAATTTTTCAGGACCCACTTGCTTTTAATGCATATTTGAAAAATGAACACCATGGCAATTCGCTTTAGAGGCATACAATTGGCACACCATGGCAATCAGTTTTAGAGGCATACAATTGGCACATCATGACAACTTTAGGTGCATAAAATCGGCACACCACGGCAATCAGCTTTAGAAGCATAGAAACATAGAATGTGACGGCATTTATTTATTTAAATGTTTCTATCATATCCCCACTGTCTCGTCTTTCCTCTAAGCTATACATGTTAAGATCCTTTAACCTTTCCTGGTAAGTTTTATCCCGCAATCCATGAACCTGTTTCGTAGCCCTTGTCTGAACCCTCTCTAAGGTATCAATATCCTTCTGAAGATACGGTCTCCAGTACTGTGTACAATACTCCAAGTGAGGTCTCACCAGTGTTCTGTACAATGGCATTAGCACTTCCCTCTTTCTACTGCTAATACCTCTCCCTATACAACCAAGCATTCTGCTAGCATTTCCTGCTGCTCTATTACATTGTCTGCCTACCTTTAAGTCATCAGAAATAATCACCCCTAAATCCCTTTCCTCATATGTTGAGGTTAGGACTCTATCAAATATTCTGTACTCTGCCCTTGGGTTTTTACGTCCAAGATGCATTATCTTGCACTTATCCACATTAAATGTCAGTTGCCACAATTCTGACCATTTTTCTAGTTTACCTAAATCATTTGTCATTTGGCTTATCCCTCCTGGAACATCAACCCTGTTACATATCTTAGTATCATCAGCAAAAAGACATACCTTACCATCAAGACCTTCTGCAATATCACTAATAAAAATATTAAAGAGAATGGGTCCAAGTACAGATCCCTGAGGTACCCCACTGGTGACAAGTCCAAGCTTCAAATATATTCCATTAACTACAACCCTCTGTTGCCTGTCACTCAGCCACTGCCTTACCCATTCAACAATATTTGAATCCAAACTTAAAGATTGCAGTTTATTGATAAGCCTTCTATGTGCAACAGTGTCAAAAGCCTTACTGAAATCTAGGTAAGCAATGTCTACTGCACCACCCTGATCTATAATTTTAGTTACCCAATCAAAAAAATCAATAAGATTAGTTTGGCATGATCTCCCTGAAGTAAACCCATGTTGTCTCTGATCTTGAAATCCATGTGTTTTTTAGATGTTCAACAATCCTATCCTTTAACATGGTTTCCATCACTTTCCCCACTACTGAAGTAAGGCTTACTGGCCTATAGCTGCCCGACTCCTCCCTATTACCTTTCTTGTAAATGGGCACAACATTCGCTAACTTCCAATCTTCTGGGACTACTCCTGTTAACAATGATTGGTTAAATAAATCTGTTAATGGTTTTGCTAGTACACCACTAAGCTCTTTTAATAGCTTTGGGTGTATTCCATCAGGTCCCATTGACTTATTTGTCTTTACTTTTGACAGTTGAAATAGAACCTCTTCCTCTGTAAACTCACGTGTAATAAATGACTCATTTATCCTTTTTCTCAACTGAGGTCCCTTTCCTTCATTTTCATCTGTAAATACAGAACAAAAATATTCATTGAGGCAGTCAGCTAGACCTTTATCCTCTTCTACATACCTTCCTTCTTTTGTTTTTAATCTAACTAATCCTTGTTTTACTTTTCTTTTCTCATTTATGTATCTAAAAAAAGTTTTGTCCCCCTTTTTTACTGACTGTGCTATTTTCTCTTCTGTGTGTGATTTGGAAGCTCTTATAACTTGCTTAGCCTCTTTCTGCCTAATCTTATAGATCATTTTGTCTTCCTCACTCTGTTTTATTTTATAATTACTAAATGCTAACTTTTTGTTTTAAATTATTTTGGCCACATCTGCAGAGTACAACAGTGGTTTCTTGAATTTTTTACTTTTACTGACAAGCCTAATGCAATTTTCTGTTGCCTTCAATAGTGCAACTTTTAAATAATCCCATTTCTCTTGGTCTCCATTTAAATTGCTCCAATCTGATAATGACTCCTCTACACATATTCTAATTTTAGAAAAGTCTGTTTTTCTAAAGTCTAAAACTTTTGTTTTTGTGTGGTGTGACTCAGTCACTGTTCTTATATTAAACCACACGGACTGATGATCGCTGGATCCTAAACTTTCACCTACAGTAATAGCTGATACCAAATCTCCATTTGTTAACACTAAATCTAGTATGGCCTCTTTACGAGTTGGCTCCTCAACAACTTGTTTTAGAGACAATCCCAGTAGGGAGTTTAGAATATGTGTGCTCTTGGCACAAGTAGCTAATTTTGTTTTCCAATTTACATCAGGAAGATTAAAGTCACCCATGATGATAACGTCTCCCTTCATTGTCATAACTAATGTAGAGAGGGCCCTGGTGCAAGCATGTTTTCTTGTGCAAGTGTGGCCAAAAGGTAGATCCCCATCTGTTGGTGAACTTCAACAATGCTATGCCAGCTAGGGATCTACCATTTGCCCGCCGTTGCAGGGTTATATTTGTGAGCAGTGTTCGAGCGTTTGTAAGCATGTTTTCGTATAAAGTATATGTGTGCA